TGGAAATGTACCTATGAGTAATACGACTGTGCAGGAAATATGGAAGGAGAACACTGGCAAATTTGTTAATAAAGAAAATGACAGACAGAGGAGGATGGATGGAGGGCAGTTAGTAAGCAGGATTAGTAAAGAAGACGAGTGGAGGTATGGAAATGTCTAGAAGAAAGGGCAGTGGACCTGTTAGCCACAGAGTTTAAAGCAGTCTTGCCTGAAGAGTGGAGAAGAAATGTGACAAAGAGCTCTACAGATGTGACGTTTGCTCTGAGAGCGTTGATGGAAAAGTTTAGAGAAGCTCAGAAGGAGCTTCACTTTCTTTGTGGATCAGAGAAAGCACGAGGAAGTCAGGAGGGTCAGAGAAGTGTGTGGAGGTGGTGCAGGACATGTGAGGACAGAGGTGAGGTGTGTGGTAAGATTAACAGGTGGGTTCAAGGTGGGGGTGGGATTACATCAGGGATCAGCTCTCAGCTCCTTGTTTGCAGGTGGAGTAGAGCGTGGAGAGGTGGAGGTATGATCTGGAGAGCAGGGGGATGAAAATCAGTAGAAGTAAGACAGGCATGTGTGGATGAGGGGGAGACTGGTGCAGAGGTCAACATGAAGGAGCAGAGGTAGTGAAGGTGGATGAGTTTAAGTACTTTGGGTCAACCATCCAAAGCAACAGAGTGCACAAGAGAGGTGAAGAGGACAGTCCAGGCAGGGTGGAGTGGGCGGAGACAGATGTCAGGGGTGATTTATGACAGAAGCTAAAGAGTACACAATAAATACTAATTCTATGAGACGAAGATAAGAAAACAAGCTTCTTATGAAAAATGATTAATGTATGTTAGTCTATTTTGTTATTCGTCATAATGACAAACTCTACAAACCAGTAAAATAAAATAAAATCATGGCTACTTGCCTTCAGTCTGAGGAAATCCTCTCTTCTGTGAAGTCTCCCCACAGTTGCTGACGTCCGCTGACAGGCAGTGATTTTGAGTGTTAGACTGATTTAACCTGCACTCTGTGAAACGTTTTCAGACTGCAGTGACGTCATGTTTGGTTTTCTTGTAACTTACCTTCTCGTCCTGAGCTGCTGGCACACAGACTCTGCAGCAGGTCATTCCTGCTTATCCTCTCTAAAATCTTCTTAGCCACCTCCACAGCTCCAGGAAGCCTGTAGGTTTGCACCATCAGGTCGACAGTGTCCCACCTGTTTGTTGTCTCCAATCGACTCTTTTTGATGGTTGGGAAGCTTTGAAGGACGTCAGCTTGATGTAGGAGCCACTTGAATTTGTTAAACTCTTCATCTCCCAAATCCTCCAGAGTACTTAACAGGTCGTCTGACGTCATCCCTGATCCCTGCTAAAGGAGGAGAATATTCTCAGCAGGTATTTAACATATTTGTTGCTGGTTGAGAATAAACACGACGTCTCTGCCATTGGTGTTCGAATAAACATTTTGAGTTTTAATTTTGGTGGTGTGGACTCATGGTTCTGTCTTTTGGATTTCACAGATGATTTTAGTTCGTGCTCATTATTACTTAGATTTCCTAGTTCTTGGTTTCTGAAGTTCACTTTTGCTTAAAATAATATGCAATAAAACAGTTTATTTTATGTGTCTATAACGTATTCATCGGGTTTGCTTATACAGCCTTGAAATCCCTTCACAACTATGCACATGCACATGGGAGCGTGGAGTATTTGCCCTGAAGCGACAGGCACTTCAATCCCTGTCCTGCTACAGTGAGAGCTCGGCTTGCTCTGCTGGCAGTGAGTCGGTTCAGTTTTACTTATAATGCACCAAATTACAACAGCCTCAGTGTTTGCAATGTGAAGTTTGTCACACATTGTGTCTTCTAGCTAAAGGTAAAGCTGTTAAGTTTAACAGGGATGAGAGCCAACTGGCAACCTGTCCAGGGTGTACCCAGCCTCTCACCCTAAGACAGCTGGGATAGGCTCCAGACCCCCACAACCCTGAAAAGGATAAGCAGATGATGGATGGATGGATGGATGGATGGATGGAT